AGGGTATAAAGACAGGTAAGGAGCGCGGGTGGGCAGGTGGGCCCTCCGCAGCACCATACTGGAACGGTACCCGGTGCTCCAGGCAGGCTCCGGTACACCCATACCGGGGCGTACCTCCTGCAACCCACCACTGCTCTCAATGTACATAAAAAGACAAGATACATTCGTCAAGAATCATAAGGTTCAACACTTAATGATAGTCATAGGGTACACTCTCATGGCCTTCAGAAAAGCTGTTAAAACCTGGCTATTCCGGCAGGCCTGGGGCTGTTGACCTCATTGTTGAGGTCCAGCCCCGATCAGAACGAATGTATGTTGTGATTTTTAAAATACATCTATCTTTTTTTATTTTTCTTTATTGTAAGGATACAAGCAACAAAGTTACAGTCCTGCAGTCATAAGTGGGAGGAGATGGATGATACGAAAGATGAGAAGACTAATAGTAATGCAGCCTTAGTGAATGGTTTGACAGTGGTGAGGGAATTATTTGTTTAGCAGAGTGATGGGGAAAAACTGTTCTTGTGTCTAGTTGTCATGGTGTGCAGTGCTCTATAGCGTTGTTTTGAGGGGAGGAGTTGAAACAATTTATGTCCAGGATGCAAGGGGTAAATATTTTCACAGCCCTCTTTTTGACTCGTGCAGTGTACAGATCGTCAATGGAAAGCAGGTTGGCAGTAATTGTTTTTTCTGCAGTTCTGATTATTCCCTGAAGTCTGTGTCTGTCTTGTTAGATTGCAGAATTATGCCAGTTGGGATTGAGGAAGGAATACGGGGTAGAAAATCCAGATTAGGGAACTAGCAAAAATTCATGCCAATCACAAATGGATAAGAAGAAGGATTACCCAGCTTTAATTCTCTTAAAAAATGTTGTTTGCCATTGTTTGAGTAGAATTCCAAAAATAATACAAGAATTGGATGTTCTCTCTGATGCCGCAGAGTTTTAAACAGTGCACACTACACTTCATCTTAGCCAAAAGGTCAGAATTAGCTCCCTCAAAGGGAGCTCCAAAATGCTCATTACCATGAAATATGTGAATTATTTGAATATGTTAACTCTTCTCAGCCTAAGGGCAGAGATGAAATAAAGAGAGCTGCCATCTATTGGTGGGCAGCAGTAAAGACATATCAATTGACTGCCTAAACCAGGGGTGTCAAACTCACGTCACGGAGACATCATGTGATGTATCGGGGCTTTCCACCCTTCGCTAAACTGTGCGTGGGCGTGCCCAGCGCATGATGCATCCGGCCCATGGGCCGGGAGCCCTGCCCTAAACTAATTTTAATTTTGTTTTGTAATTTATATTTAAAATTTTACTTTTCTGATCTACAATCATGATTTGGATTTGACCACCTGTAAGCATTACAAGTTTACATTTGAGCCCAGCCAGACCAAATCAGGAGCTCCCTCATCCCTTTGGGTACCTGCCAGGGGAATTCTCCATCATCTGGATAGGGTGGACATGAAAGAGGTTTCTGAAATCTTCCACAGGCACATTCATCTGGCAATATATTGCAAGAAAAGAAAACAATGTCATTTTTTAATGGGTAGATTTCAAAAGTAACTGTTTTTGTTAAATTTGATTAAAATAAATGTTTTTTTAAACAAGAAATTGGGACTTTGGTTGATGAAAGCAAGCACACCTTAACTATTTCACTACCATTTTCAGTCTGTATAGTGTGACGTCTTTGGAATTAGATTATTTCTCTCTCTCTCTCTCTCTCTCTCACACACACACACACACAAAACTTAGATATTCTGTTTAGGGGAGGCGGCAATCATCTCCCAAGCTTTATTTCTTTAAAATGTAGAAATAGATAAATTTAAAATAAATCTAGAAAGAGTGCAGAGAAGAGCTGTAAAGATGATTAGGGACTGAAATAGAGTTTGTATTTAGCAGGTTCTGATCAGTTCTGGAGAACCAATAGCGGAAATTCTGAGTAGTTCGGAGAACCGGTAAATACCATCTCTGACTGGCCCNTATATATATATATATATATATATTACGTATCTCTTTTAAATGGCATGTAGATGTTGCTTATGTCTATGTGCTTGTTGATGGCCAATTTGTCTGAATGGCAGACTTCCAGGAAGTTCTCTAGTGTTTTTTTGATTTGGCGTCTACATCTATACCTACATACCAATGCCATTCAAAAGAGACAATCAAATATCCAAAAAGGAAACAAAAGATCAAAACTTCTCCTCACCATCAGTCAACACCCAGATAAGCAGAGATTAACACTCAAGGACAAAACAATACTCTACCAACTCAAACGAAGAAGCTAACAATAAACTGCAACCTAATGAGGGAATCACCTAGACCAGAGGTGTCAAACTCAAGGCCTGGGATCCAAATCTGGCCTGTGGGGTGCTTAGATCTGGAAACAGTGAAGGACTGACCCACAGTGCTTTTTCCAGCAAAAATGGAGCTCTGTTTTCGCTGGTAGAGGGTTGCAGGAGGCTGTCACTGCCAAAAACAGAGGTTGGGAGCCCATTTTTGCTGGTAGAGTGCTCGGGCTACCACACATACCCCCGACACAAGTAATGCTGAGCTACCCCCTGCTCCCTCCCGAGGTCAAACACAAAACTGATGCACACCTCAATGAAATTGAGTTTGACACCCTCAACCTAGATCATATCCACCAACATTGATGGGGCAAGACACTGGTATATAAAATGAGAGAAAATCCCACTTCCTTTTAGCACTGATGTTGTAATCTAGGGTGTTAATGAAACATCTGCAAGAAAACAACCAGAAACAGAGAGCACCAAAGACCACTTACAATTAATTGAATATGCCAGGGATTCCCAATGCTTTTTTTTTTTTAAAAAAGACAGTAAAACACCAAAAAAGGTCATTTTTAAAAATATAGATTATGTAAGTATTGCTGGTGGCTCACTTTGTAGATCCAGGGGATTATTTTTAAAATTACTTGAAATAAACACAATTGGATCATATTTTTTCAAAATGGAGATGCATTGTATAGCTATTTCATATATGTAGATATTTACTTATGCCTATGTGTTTATTTTCTTTTTTAGTTTCCTTCCCTTGTTATAGTTTTTACACATATTATTTTGAATTTTGTGGAAGTAATCTGTCTAGTTATTTGGTTATTAAAAGACTACTGAAACCAAAAGTAACTCAATACCAAAGGAATAGCTTGAAGCAGGCACCCCTTTCTGCAGCTCTTTAAAACATACACATTTCCCCCCAGGAATAATGTAGCTGCTTTAAAGAGTTGCAGCCAGAAGCTAATCTTGCATTGCTGAAAACATAGGAAATTTACAAGCAGAATACAGAATGATTGCACCTCCATAAAATTTTGTGAATGAGAGTGAATAAGTAAAGTAATGTGTGGAAGCATTCAGTTCTCCAAATACAGTTCACTCATGTTTATCTAATTTGGTCCTTGCTCCTTGAAGCTGTCATCTCCTCCTTAGTGTTCTTCTGATGTTAGAACTGCTACTCAAAATCCTCATCATCATGCCTGAAACTATTGTAACAGGGAATTCTGAGATTGCAATCCAAATACACCTGAATGCTTCTTTATTTCTGGAGAGACTTCTAAAAAGTGCTAAAAATTGAAATTGATTGTTTTGCACCAGAAATCACATGGGAAATGGCAATCTTAATAATTTCATAACATTGAGCAAATAGCTGAGAAAGGACTGTGAAGGTATTTTGTATGCTTCAGATTACACACACACACCATCTCCAGCATTCAACATCTTAACAGAGGAATTACAGACAATTACAGAGTAACTACTTTGGAAAAACTCCCACACTTTTATCATGAAAGTTGTTTCCTCCACCACTCAGCTAAAATAAAATAAACTGGCAACCGAGGAAAAAAATGGTTTTCATAAATCCTAAGTCTGTAAACCGAACAAACTAGCTTCTCTTGTTCTTGGGTAGTGGCAAAATCTCTTTTCTAATTGGGAATTAAGTCAGTAAGTAGTGCTGATGGAAAAAGAGAAAACAATCAGGATTTAGCAGTTCTCATAGTGATGTAAGACTGTGATTTCCCGGGTCCAAATTCCTTACGAAGTTTACTGGAAAACTTTGGTTCACCTTTCATCTGAACCCAGCTCACACTTTTGTTCTGAAGATAAAATGAGAAAACTAGATATATTTCCTTATATACACACCGGGGTGGGGCGAGGGAGGTGGAGAAAGAAAAAAAAAAACAGGAGAAATGAAATGTTTTAGAAAAGGCTGTGGTTAGCTTCAACCTAAGCACAGGACCACATCTCTCATTTTTGAGAATATGATGAAGAACTTCATTGCACATTCAATTTTTGCTTAAGACACATTCAGATTTATTTTTAAGACATGTTCTACTTACCTTGAAAAAACAGGAAAGCAGCCTGTAATTTCTAACAGAATCAAAATGGTTAGAACCTAAAGAGAGAAGAGGAAGAAGGCATTACTAAAGGCACGTAGCTTAGAACTACTTTTTAACCTAATTTCCCAATACAATAATGAAGAAAAGCTCTGCTGAAAGACACTTTGCTGACAATACTGCTTAACAAACAAACAAACAAACAAACAAACAAACAAACAAGATATATATTCCAGGTACTGCTATCCATTCTCTCCCACCCCAACACAACCTGTCTTTCTGGAGTTGTGAGCCCATGTTGTCCTTTTCTGCTTAGACAATGAACTCTGCTTTTATAGATTTATAGAAATTGACACAATGACTTTCTTACCTTCATGATTAGAGGAAGTCTGCCTTTCCCACCCAGCAACTAGGAGAGGAAAAACCTTCCTTTGAGAAGAGACTGCACTTCAGAACTAGGCGGGCCACTTGTCAGTCCAGTTATCTGGAAACTGATTCTCTGCCCAGTTGCTTTGCTTTTTCTTTCATAAGATAAACTCTAAGCAACACCATGGAATGCTAACACTAACTCATAATCTCCGGGGACAAATTGTTCTCAAATTTCTGAAAGTATTCAAATTTAGTTGATAAATTTGTTCCATATACTGCAAAGGCCTGGCATGAGTTCTGGAGAAATATTTAGAATATTTAGACAAAAAACACAATTTAGGAAGCTGTTGTCAAATCTATCAAAGCCAGGCAAACAGATCTGGTCTGCTAAAATCCAGATGACTGCTGCCATCTAGTGGAGGTCCAGAGTTTGGAAGTCCAAGTCAAATAGCTCTAATCAAAGTTTATGCCATTTATTTTGAATGGTCACGAGTCACTAAAAGGCTTGGCTGGCAATCTTTCTGCCTCCACTTCCTTTTAACCAGAAGTGCCAACGCTACTCAAAATGCCAGGATTTCAATTCAGGAACCACTGCATGAAAACTGAGCTCCCTTAAAAAAAACAATTATTTTTATTCAATTATGGCCAGTTGAAATTTGGAAGTATTTATTTATTTATTTATTTATTTATTTATTTAT